CAGGAAGAGCTTCGGCTCGGACTTTCCTGTTCTGCGTCTGCACTCTGACAGAGGCGGAGAGTTCTCTTCTCGCCTTCTGCGGGACTACTGTCGTGCACGGGGGATCCGCCAGACCTTCACGCTTCCGGACTCACCACAGCAAAATGGGATTGCTGAGCGCCGCATTGGTATGGTCATGGATGTCGCTCGTACGTCCATGATGCATGCGGCTGCCCCCCATTTTCTGTGTCCGTTTGCGGTGAGGTACGCGGCGCATCAGCTCAACCTTCACCCCCGGGTCTCTCGGCCTGCGATGTCCCCAGCCTTGCTGTGGACGGGGAAGGTTGGCGATGCGTCTGTGTTCCGTGTCTGGGGATCTCGGGCGTTTGTCCGCGACTTGTCTGCGGACAAGCTGTCCCCTCGTGCTGCTCCCTGTGTCTTCCTTGGCTTCCCCACTGACGCCCCAGGGTGGCAGTTTTACCACCCCTCCTCTCGTCGTGTTCTGTCCTCCCAGGACGTCACGTTCGACGAGTCGGTCCCCTTCTACCGTCTCTTCCCCTACCGCACTCCTTCCCTCCCCCCTCCCCCGGACTTCCTTGTGCCGGTTCCCCCCCCGGTAGACCCCCTCCCCCCTCAGGTTCCTGCCCCCTCAGGTGTGTCCCAGGTAGACGCCGTTGACCCGGTCGAGGTTACTGGTGACTCTGGTGCTGCTGCGGGTGCTGAGCCTGGGGGTGCTGACTCTAGGGGTGCTGTGCGCGGGGGTGCTGGGCCTGAGGGTGCTACTGCGGAGGGTGCGGAGCCTGGGGGTGCTGAGCCGGGGGTTGCTGAGCCGGGGGGTGCTGTGCCTGGAGGTGCTGGGTCTGGGGGTGCTGAGCTGGGAGCTGCTGAGCCTGGGGGTGCTGCGTCTGGAGCTGCTGAGCCTGGGGTTTCTCCTGCTGCTGCGTCTCGCCGGGAGCCCCTCTCTCCACAGGAGCTGCGCGAGTGGTTCGCTCGCCGCTGGAGGCGTGCTGCTGAGTCTGGAGGTTCTGCTGGAGCTGGAGCTGGAGCTTCTTCGACCGTCGAGGGTGCGGGTGCTGCCGGTCCCGGAGCTGCTGGACCTGCGGGTCCTCCTGGAGCTGGAGCTGCTGAGGGCGCTGGTGCTGAGCCTACTGCTGTTGGTCCTGCCGCTGGAGGTGTGGGTGGCACTGGTGCTGTCGCTGAGGGTGCTGGTGCTGTCCCTGCTGCGTCTAGAGCTGCCGCGAGGCCTCGGCCGTACTTTGTTCCGCTCCTGCAGCAGGTTCTTGGTCTTTCTCCTTCAGTAGAGGGTCCACCGCCTGTCCAGTCGCAGTCACTGCTGGAGCCTTCCTCTCCACTGCCAGCTCCCTCTCCTTACCAGGTCCTACTGGAGGTCTTGCTGAGCGTCGTGAGCCTGCGTCTCGTCCAGCGTCGCCTGTTCCCACTGCTCGCGCTAGTGGTCGCAGTTCGCGTCAGCGTCCTCCTCCTGTCCCTGGCACGCACCGGATGTCTTTGCGTCCGTCCACTGCTCCTCTGCGTGCCCCTTTGCCTTCTCCTCCTGAGTCCTCTCTTCCTGCGCTTGCCGACCCTGAGTCGGACTCTCTTCGTGCTGCCAGTCCTACTGTCACGCGTCTGCTTGCTACTGTCGTCACTGACCCCTCTTTTGAGTCCACTGCTGCGTCTGCTCTAGTCGCTGAGCTCGTCGACTTTGCTGCTCGCTGTCGTCTCGACTACGCTGCTCGTCTTGTTGCTGAGTCTGCGTCTGTCTGTCCTCCGTCCGTCGGGGATGAGTGTGCTCTTGGCACGGACGTCCTAGAGGACAGGCAGGAGGAGTTACAGTGTCTAGCGGCTGCTTCACCTCATCTCGCGTCTGTACTACTTGCCCCTGAGGGAGACCCGGATGCACTAGACATCCCGACTCCGCGTTCTTACGCGGAGGCCGTAGAGGGTCCCTACTCCTCTCAGTGGCAGGCAGCTATGGATGCAGAGATGGCTTCCTGGAAGTCCACAGGCACCTACGTTGACGCGGTTCCCCCTCCTGGGGCGAACATCGTCAGTGGCATGTGGATCTTCAGGGTGAAGCGGCCGCCGGGCTCTCCACCTGTCTTCAAGGCACGGTACCTTGCTCGTGGCTTCAGTCAGCGGCAGGGAGTTGACTACTTTCAGACCTTCTCTCCCACCCCGAAGATGACTACTCTTCGGGTGCTGCTGCACATAGCCGCTCAGCGCGACTACGAGCTTCACTCTCTTGACTTCAGCACTGCGTTCTTGCAGGGTAGCCTGCACGAGGAGATCTGGCTTCGCCGTCCACCTGGCTTCACTGGGACTTTCCCTCCTGGCACCCAGTGGAGCCTCCGTCGGCCAGTCTACGGTCTCCGCCAGGCACCGCGTGAGTGGCACGACACACTGAGGACTACGCTTGCGGCTCTTGGGTTTGCTCCTTCTACTGCTGACCCGTCGCTGTTTCTTCGCACCGACACTTCCCTGCCGCCGTTCTACATCCTCGTGTACGTCGACGACTTGGTCTTTGCCGCAGCAGACACTCCTGGACTCGCCTACTTGAAGTCCGAGCTGCTGAAGAGACACACGTGCACAGACCTGGGTGAACTGCGCAGCTACCTTGGCTTGCAGATCACTCGGGACAGAGCACGCCGCACCATTACCTTGACTCAGTCACACATGGTGCAGCAGGTCCTTCAGCGCTTCGGCTTCACGTACTCCTCGCCTCAGGCCACTCCTCTGCCTACTCGCCACTCACTCTCAGCTCTGCCTTCGGATGAGTCCGTAGAGTCGAGTGGTCCGTATGCAGAGCTTGTTGGCTGCCTCATGTACCTGATGACCTGCACACGACCTGACCTTGCATACCCTCTGAGCATTCTTGCTCGCTATGTTGCTCCTGGGAGACACAGACCGGAGCACATGGCTGCAGCGAAGAGGGTATTGCGCTACCTGTGCAGCACGTCGGGCATGGGGCTAGTGCTTGGAGGGCGGAGTCCAGTGGTCCTTACCGGCCACGCGGACGCTTCTTGGGCTGACGACCAGGCTACGCAGCGGTCGTCACAGGGTTACACCTTCAGCCTTGGTTCCGGCTCTGTCTCGTGGCGGTCTACTCGCTCGTCTTCGGTTCTCGGCTCCAGTTGTGAGGCTGAGATCTACGCCGGGGCCATGGCTGCACAGGAGCTTCGCTGGCTCACCTACCTGCTGACTGACCTTGGAGAGCCGCCTCGTTCTCCTCCAGTGCTGTACGTAGACAACAAGGCCATGCTGGCCTTGTGTCGAGAGCAGCGCTTGGAGCACAGAACGAAGCACATTGCTTTCCGCTACTTCCTTGCTCGTGAGCTGCAGCAGCGTGGTCAGTTGCGACTTGCGTACGTGGCCTCTGAGGCCAACACTGCTGATGTGTTCACCAAGGCACTCGCGCCTTGTGACCATTAGCGCTTTTGCACCCAGCTGGGTCTTGTGCCTGTCTTGCCTCACTTGCTCTCCTCTTGACTTTACTTGTACTGTGACATATATATACTTGCTCTTGCTTGTCTAGTTTTATATATATATGTCTGTACTCCTGCATGTGAACTGGCCTCTGGCCCTGCTCTTGTGCTCGGACTGTGTGGTGACGTTGTGATCCACCCTGAGCTTGCTCTGCTTTGCTTTACTTGACTGGTCTTGTGACCCCTTGTTCTCCCCCACTTTGCCTATGGGGGTGTGTCAGATTTATATGACATATTTGCTGTAGGCTATAGTGGGGTAGCACATATGGGGTACAGGGTTTCTAGGGTTGCATTTGTACCCAATCTTTCCTTAGTGAATTCATTCCTGTTTTCCTTACTTCACACGCGGGTTACCCGCCGAGCCGTGAGGTTGGGGTGCGACGTGCGAAGGTGGCGGGAGGATTGTCGATGCAAGGGTTTGTGAGTGGTAACCGTGCTGACTATGGTGCTACAGTGGTGTACGCGCTGAGCGGGGACGCGAAGTAAGGAAAAGGGATTTTCCTTGCACTTGTCCATCATTGTTTTTCCAATGATGTGCTGCACTCAAGTGCGATGAATAGCATGTTACTTCTCTGTGGTAATGTTTTCTTCTGAGTTTTGGAGCTTGGGTTGATAGCCCTTTGTTTGCTCTTTGTTGGGGGGCAAGCGGAACTTTATTATAAAGCGTATGAAACATCTGCTAAAATCCGCGTTCAGACAAACATATGGGACACGCCATACAACACAATCAAAAACGAATTCCACAGGAAAGTGTCTGAAACAGGAGGGCAAAGTTTGACAGTGACAAGAAAAGCTGACGGCCGCGAGCTTCATGCTGACTTGTTTGCGCGGACCAATCTCGAGAAGGAATCAACTGAAGGGAATATTCCCGTGAACCAATGAGCGTAATCTTGCGCACGTAACAAGGCGGCGCGGTGGGGCCATCCCGAACCGCAGTCATCGAGAATGGACGACATCTATCCGTCCAGGGACATCGTCGGATAGTTTCAGGTCAGATCAGACTCCTTTCAGGCAAACAAGCCCCAGAAAACCATCCTTGCACTTCGCACGTTTCTTGGAAAGCCCTTCAAATCCATTGCAGACGATCTCTAAGCTAATGCTGTCGAGAAATCAATCGCGCATACAGTCATGCGGTCAGCTCGTCGAAACCGTCCTTCTGCCCATGTGGCTCCTCTGTTCAAGGGTCAGCAACCAATCTCGAGGAGCACCGACGAACCTATCCGCGTTGTCCCCGACATGACAAGGAGTAATGGAAAATCCCATCATCTATGGCTGCTTGGAATCGAGGCCTTGGGAACACTTGGTGGTCCCTGACGATTTCTGCTTGTGGTGGGAGCTGTCATTTCAGCCGAAGGGTTGTGTGTTTGTTCTCCCAGCTGCCTCGCGTTTCAGGCATCGTCGCAGCCGTATATAACATCACCAAGGCAACATATTCCTCGGTCGTTAGCTGCTGCTCTTTGGTCGTAGTATTTTGTGAACATCAAAGAACAGGCTTACTAGGACCGTAGGTTTAAGCTTAGAACAGCTCACCGCGGCGCAATGGTTTCCCGCGCGTGCTCCACCGCGCCGCCGGGCCTGGCTCTCATTCGTCGCTTCCGGCCAAAGGATTTCTCTTTCGCGACGCACCAGATCTTCGTCCTTGTTCTCACCTTTATCGCATACGCGTTATATCACGCCTCGCGAAAGCCTCCCAGCATTGTCAAGGGCGTGCTCGACCCTCTCGATACAGGCAACTCCGTTACAAGCAATCCCTGGACTTTCTACCTCCAGCGGCTGGAAAGCCACCCAGAAAACTCTCTTCTGCGGGCAGAACAAAAAGCCGGATGGGCTCCTTTCAACGGTAAATCCGGGAAATCTCTTCTCGGGGAACTCGATATCGCGTTTCTGGGATGCTACGCGATCGGCATGTATATCGCTGGCCATGTTGGCGACCGAATCGACCTCCGCGTCTTCCTCTCCGTGGGGATGTTCGGCAGCGGCTTATTCGTATCCCTCTTCGGCATGGGGTATTTCTGGAATATACACTCGTTAAACTACTTCGCAGCGGTGCAAATGGCCGCAGGGTTCCTCCAGGCGACCGGCTGGCCGAGCGTCGTCGCGATTATGGCCAGCTGGTACGGAAAAAAAAGGCCGCGGGTTGATTCTTGGCGTGTGGAACGCACACACTTCCGTCGGCAACATTCTCGGATCGCTCATCGCGTCGTCCGCGCTTGCAAGCGGATGGGGCTGGGCGTTTCTCATCCCCGGATTCAGTATCATGGCGGGAGCGCTGGTCATGTTTCTGTTTCTTGCGCCGGAACCGGAAACCATAGGGCTGGAGTCGCCGCATTCGTTGCTGCTGTCGGAGTCGTCTAGTGAGGCGGGCGGGAGCGTGCACGGGGAGGGGGACGAGGAGTCGGGGCTTGAAGCTGTCGAATGCGCTGACATGGCTGCTGACGTGGCGGCTGGTTTCGATGCTGCCCTATTAGCTCCGAAAGAGGCTGCTTATGCTTCAGTATCGGAGCAGCTTACGGTGCCGCTTTTACAGGGGAAGGATGATGCGGGGCCGGGAGCGGAGGGTCGGATTGTGATAACAGAGGATGTGCTTAAAGCGGGAATGGAAGGGAGCGGCGGGGAGCACGAGGCGATCAGTTTCTGGGACGCATGTCAAATTCCTGGTGTTGCGGCGTACGCGTTATGCCTGTTCTTCGCTAAGCTTGTGGCGTACACGTTCCTGTACTGGCTCCCGTTCTACATCAAGCGCACAGGTGAGACGAATACCGCCTACAGACTCCCGTACGAGAAGCACTGAAATGTACTCCGTCAAAAGGAAAAATGTGGAACAAACTTGTAACTATGCACCGACGCGTGTTCGGGCGAATGGACAGTTTTTGACTTTGTGGGGGGAGGGGAAGGAGGGAGGGGGGGTGGGTGCTGGGGAGGATAGTAGCGGGGCATCTTTCCGACCACACAGATATCTTGCTCCCTTTCTCACTTCTCCCTCCCCTTCCTCGCTCTCTCCCCACCTTCCCAAGCAGAGATAGCGGGCCATCATCTGACTGACGCGTTTGCTGGAGTAACGTCGACAGTCTTCGATTTAGGGGGGGTGCTGGGGGGGATAGTGGCAGGCCATCTTTCCGACCATACGGGCGCCCACGCCACCGTGTCCGCTTCCTTCATGCTCCTAGCTGTCCCCGCTCTCCTCCTCTACTCCTTTCTGGGCGGAATTTCCCTCTCTGTGCACATAGGGCTGCTTTCACTGGTGGGATTCTTTGTGAATGGGCCCTACGCGCTTATCACTTGTGCCGTGTCCGCTGATCTGGGGCAGCACGCGTCGCTCCGAGGGAATTCCAAGGGGTTGGCTACGGTTACTGCGATCATTGATGGTACGGGCTCGCTAGGGGCTGCTCTGGGTCCGTTTCTAACGGGGATAGTGGCAGAGATTGGGGGAGGAGGCGGGGGGAAGGGAGCAGGAGACCTGGGGTGGAGGCTGGTGTTTGGAATGCTTATTTCGGCTGCACTGGCTGCAGTGTTGTGCATACTGCGGTTAGTTATTGGCGAGTTTAAAGCAGCAGCAGAAACCTCAGCAGCGTTAGACGCCTTCTTAGAGGCCGAGAGGCAGCAGCAGGAGCAGGGAAGAGAAGGAGAGCAAGGGAGGGGCAGTGGAGTGCCAGCGGGGGAGCAGCTGGGAGGAGAGAGGGGCGAACAAACGGGGGAGCAGAGGGGGACACAACGCGTTACGAAGTGCAAGAGCAGGAGGGTGTGGCACCACTGGTGGCGGAAGGGAGGAGGATACTGCTCCACGTGCTGCTGCTGCTGTGTGGTTGCCCGCTGTTGCAGCTGCCCTCCCCCTGCCAAGGTTCATAGTCACCACCATCAACACCACCCAGATCAGCCGCAGCAGCAGCAGCAAGAGCAGCAGCACCAGCAAGAGCAGCAGCAGCAGCAACACCACTAGCAGCAGGAAAGGGGAGAGGGGGGGGGGAGTGGGGTCAACAGGGTAATGAGCTCAGTGCAAGAGCAGGAGGGTGTGACAACCACTGGTGGCGGAAGGGCGGAGGATACTGCTCCACGTGCTGCTGCTGCTGTGTGGTTGCTCGGTGCTGCAGCTGCCCTCCACCTGCCAAGGTGCACAGTCACCACCACCAACACCACCCACAGGAGCCGCAGCAGCAGCAGCAAGAACAGCAAGAGCAGCAGCAGCAGCAGCAACACTAGCAGCAGCAGGAAGGGGGAGGGGGAGGGTAGCAGGGACAGGACAATTAGCTCAGTGCAAGGGCAGGTGGTTGTATTGATGGCACCACTAGTGGTGGAAGGGCGGAGGTTACTGCTCCACATGCTGCTGCTGCTGTGTGGTTGCCAGGTGCTGCAACTGCCCTCCACCTGCCAAGTTACCCTGCTACCATCACCAACATCACGCACAGCAGCCACAGCCCCAGCAGCAAGAGTAGCAGCAAGAACAGCAGCAGCAGGAGCAGCAGCATCAGCAAGAGGAGAAACAACAGGAGCAGCAGCGGCAGAGCTAAGATGTAACATCAACCTTCATCGTTATACTTGGTTTGCAAAATTCGTACCCTTCTCGTTTGGTTTGTAAATGTCACCGTAATCAGACTTCCAGGTTAGAGTAGGGACACCAAGGTTGCTACTCAACCAACATGCGTCTGCACTGCATATTATCTTGATTTGTAAATAGATTTGCTACAAGTTTTGAGTTTGTGCCATGTAGAGTCTGCTGAGCTCATAAAGGCTCATACGAACAAAAGGACGGGAATCAATTACAACCTAGGACGTGAAATGAATGTTCTTGTAAGGATAAGGACTGCTGGAACCTTGCAAGCAATTTGAGATGGCGACTAAATACCTTGCTGAAGGTACCAACCTAGCAAGGTTTATTAGATATGCCTTCACTTACGTATGGCAAAATAGATTACTTTAATACTACAACCTGCACTACCATAGGAATGGACCACAGCCAGAAGAACCCACGCATTTCTTTCGCAAGTTTCATCTTACTACACCCTGAATTTGGCCCGCTTAAGCTGGGTGCATTGCCCTGATTGCCCTGTTTGTTTAGGGTGGAAGAGAAGACCACCCTCAGACAAAAAAAAGTGTCCAAGTGACAAGCTCACCATGCTGAAGCTTCATCACTGCTTATATCAGCAACAAGCTACTATACCAGCAGCGGCACCTGACTCACCAGCACCAGCACCTGATCTACCAGCAGCAGCACCTGACCCACCAGCACCAGCACCTGACCCACCAGCACCAGCACCAGATCTACCAGCAGCAGCACCTGACCCACCAGCACTAGCACCTGATCTACCAGCAGCAGCACAGCAGGCATAGACTAGAGCACTCGACAGCCAGCATTGCCTCAGCAGAAACAGAACCAGCTGCAGCACTACACCTCTCTTCCTCCCACTGTAAGCGCGGCCACTGTCGAGTTTCAAACCCGGCTTCACGTCAAGGATCCGGTCTACATCCACAGTCGCAGGTAGTCACCTACCCCCCCATTTTCAGCCCGTACCAGCAGCAGCAGCAGCAGGGGCAGCATCGGCAGTTGTGAAGTGCACTACACCAGCCTCCCTCCCAGTCTAGGCGCAGCCACACTGGTGAGGTCCAGATCAGGCTTCACGTCGTGAATCCTGTCTACATCCACCGTTGCAGGGGTCATTGGTAGGAACCTCTGAGGCGCTACAAAAATCGACCCTCCTCCGCTGCTACACCAGTCTGCCTCCCAGTCTAGGCGCAGCCACACTGGTGAGGTCCAGATCAGGCTTCACGTCGTGAATCCTGTCTACATCCACCGTTGCAGGGGTCATTGGTAGGAACCTCTGAGGCGCTACAAAAATCGACCCTCCTCCGCTGCTACACCAGTCTGCCTCCCAGTCTAGGCGCAGCCACACTGGTGAGGTCCAGATCAGGCTTCACGTCGTGGATTCGATCCACATCCACCGTTGCAGGAGTCATCGGTAAGAACCTCTGAGGCGCCACAAATATCGACCCTCCTCCCCCAGTGCTGCTGCTGCCCGCAGCACCACCACCCACTGCTTCCTCCGCCTCCATTCGCCTCAGCAGGCTGTATCTGCTTAGGGACTTTGTGAAGAACCGAGGGTTAGGCTCGGGCCGAGCCGCCATGGCAAACGTGTGGCTCCTGCTTCGGCCGTACGTGGCTTCTCGCATTGCCTCCATCATCTCTTCCGAAGCTGCGCCTCGGGCCGCCGGACCAAAGCCCTGGCTCATGGTCATTGCTGCTAGCAGCGCTTCGCCCGCCAACGGCGGCCCCGAGCCTGCTGCCGAGCCTGGCAGCTTGCCTCGGTCGAGCGGGCTTCCAAAATCTCCGGCGGCGTCCACAGGGCGTTTCCCAGCATTACCCCCCATGCGAAGGGCGTTTTCTAAACTCTTCCGGCTGGTGCCCATGCCACTAGCTAGCGCCCTACGAGCAGCGGCAGCAGGAGATTCGGCATTCTCTGCTGTGGAAGCAGAAGTACCAGCAGCGCCAGCAGCAGCAGCGGTGGCAGCAGCGACAGCTGGGATAAGCTTTCCACTGCTGCTAGAAGGACGACTCCCACCACCTCCTCCAGCCTTAGACGCCAGAGGAGCCAACAAATCGTCCTTCTCTTTCTTATGCAGCTCCTCCTCTTCCTCCTCTCCTTCCTCTCGCTCTCCCTTCTCCCCCTCTCCCTCCTCTTCTCCCTCGCCCTCTCCCTCCTCCCCTTCCATCACCTCCACCTCAGGTACCGGCTCCAGGGATACTTCAGTAAGAGACGCCTGCCGGACCTGCCGCCACACCGGAGGCTCGGCCGAGCCTGCCGCATCCACCGCACCAGCTTCAAGCCCAGCCGATCGAGGCCGACCGGTTTCCCCACCGCCCAACCCCTCTGCTGCGGCAGAATCCGAGGCCCCTTCTTCTGCGCGTGCCTTCTCCTCCTCCTCCATTGCTGCAATGCGCCGGGGGAGGGTTTCCCAATCGCCCACCGTTGGGACGCTCTCTGAGAGGCTGCGACGGGCGCGGGAGAGAGATATGGGCGGCACAACTGCCAACTCTGCTTCCTTGCCTCCCCCTCCTCCTGCTGCTCCTCCTGCTGCTTCTCCTGCTGCTGCAGAAGCTCCTTCAGCTGCCCCCTGTGACTCCACAGAAGTGGACTTAGGCAACGGGAACCGGAAATCCTCTGGAATAGACGCAACTGCCTCATCAGACCCAGCCGAAAGAGCAGCAGCAGGAGCACCGTCTGACTCTGCAAGAGCAGTACCAACGGCAACAGCACCCGCGCTGGCAGAGGCTGTTACTACAGCAGTTATTTTCTCTTCCATCTCTCCAGTCTTCTCCCCATTAGCACGTACCACCATTCCCTCTAATTCACCCGCAGCAGCAGCCGTTTCAGCAGGAATATCATCACCAGCAGCACCAGCAGAACCAGCAGCGGCAGCAGCAGAAGAGCCGCCACGATCAGGAGACATGACCCTAGGGGAATACACCGGTGCAAGCACGGCCCCGCGGGGAACAGGGCTCCAGTCATTGTCCGCGCTGCGGCTGGCGAGGTGCTGAAGCCCCACGAGCAGCAGCAGCACGAGGCGTTCCATCTTGAGATGATCCACATGCTGCAGCGTCTGTAGGAGCGTTAGGTCCGTGTGCCCCTGCACCCTGCTGTCTAGCCCGAACCTGGGTGGGGGGAAAGAGTGAAGAGGGAGAATGAGAGCAAGGGAGATGGCAGGAGGAGAACTGGGAAAGAACGTGATGGGGAGCTGAAGCAGCGTCTGCAGGAGCGTCAGGTCCGTGTGCCCCTGCACTGCACCCTGCTGTCTAGCCCGAACCTGGGTGAGGAATGAGGAAGGTGGAAGGGAGAGATAAGAGAATGAGAGAAGGAGTTGGCAGGGGGAGGATACAGAACAAGGTGACGGGGAGCTGAAGCAGCGTCTGCAGGAGCGTCAGGTCCGTGTGCCCCTGCACTGCACCCTGCTGTCTAGCCCGAACCTGGGAATGGGGATAGGCGGAACGAGGGAGGAAAAGGACAAAAACGGGAGGTGGTGGTTGGGAGGGTATGTGGGTGGCTGGGTGGGTGGGTTGACGGGGGTTGGAAGCAGAAGGGGTGCTACAGCCGAAGCAGCAGCGCTTCTTGTGCATGGGAAGCAGGGGAAACAGGGGCAGCAGGGGCAGGAGAGGTAGCGGAGGGGAGGGAGCGGCGGGTAGATGGTGCAAGCGCACGAGCAGCAGCAGAAGCAGCAGCAGCAGCAGCAGCAGCAGAAATCTCAAGACGCAATGATCAAATTATCCATTCACGGAATGAGAACTCCAGAATAAGCATACCAAATGGTGTTGTCTCCTCCAAGACAAGTTCACCAGGCAGCCTCCAGTCCAGCACCGCCTCCATCTGCTGCTGCAAGCTGAGCAGCCTGTCTCTCTTTACAAGGCATGGCATGAACTGCAGGCTTTTGAGACGTCTCAAGAGCTGAGCAGCCTGTCTCTCTTTACAAGGCATGGCATGAACTGCAGGCTCGCTGTGGTCGAAACTCTTCCATTTCTTGTACGAGGCGTGAACCCAGTCATTCAAAGTGAACGCAGAGAGAAAAGTTGAGCAACGGTGTACAGAATGGTGCTTAGCTGAACGAACCGAATTGTGTTCTCTGCCATGGTAACCAGCCAGTCCAGCACCGCCTCCATCTTCTGCTGCAAGCCGCCTTGCTTTCTTTGTTATTCTGAAGTGACTTTAGTTTTGAGTCGACTCAAAAGTCACCTCTGTGTCGAGCACCTACGTACCGAATTGTGTTCTCTGCCATGGTAACCAGCCAGTCCAGCACCGCCTCCATCTTCTGCCGAATGCTCTCCGTGCTCTCCTGCAGAAAGGGGGTTGGCATGGCATGTGTGCGTGAGTATGTGTTACATGTGTGCACAGTGCGGGTATGTGTGTGGGCGCGTACAACCAGCCAATCCAGAACCGCCTCCATCTTCTGCCGAATGCTCTCCGTGCTCTCCTGCATGGAGAGAGCGGGAATGTGTGTGGGGGGGTGGAGAGGGGGGGATGGGATGTGTGTACAAGTCAGTCCCTACACGACCAGCCAGCCAGTCCAGCACCGCTTCCATCTTTTGCCGGATGCTCTCCGTGCTCTCCTGTGGGGAAAGGGGGTTGGAATGAGTGAGTACGTGCCGAATGAGTATGCGTGTGTGTGTGGGCGCGTACAAGTGTGTATTAGTCTAATACAAGTGTGCAAGATTATTTCTGAAGCGACCAGCCCTTCAGTCCAGCACCGCTTCCATCTTCTGCAGGATGCTCTCCGCGCTCTCCTGGAGAGGCGAGTGGGAGGGAGGAAAGGTTGAGGGGCGGAGTAGTTTCTCTAAGCTTGTGAATGCATGTGTAAGTATGGACGGTTCATCTTATCGACCAGACCAGTCCTGCACCGCTTCCAGCTTCTGCCGGATGCTCTCCGCGCTCTCCTGCAGAGGAGGTAAGAAGGAAGGTGGGGCAGCATGTGCGCGTGTGAGAGTTTGTGATGGGGTGTGTATGGGTAACCTTGTTATCGAAAAGTCCAGCACCGCCCCCAGCTTCTGCCGGATGCTCTCCGCGCTCTCCTGGAGAGGGAGAGGAGGGAAGGGGGTGTGCAGCTGAATGGATGTGTGTAATGTGTGTGGTGGTCAAGTCATTGCAGATACGACCAGCACAGTCCAGCACCGCCGTCAATACACCACACCACACCACACCACGCCGAACCGCACCACATCTCACCACACCACACCCCACCCCACCG